AGATTTACCTATTTATATGTATGTTTACAATATAAATGATGACATATTACATATGCACAATGTCCGAAACTTCTCTGGTGATTACCCATCAATAGGGCCAGTGCAACTGTGTATGCCTATCAAGCAGAAAAGTGCCTAGTACAAGCTTAGCTTCCAAAGTAAGGAATATATTTTAGAATACAAACAAATCTAGGTACTGTACATCACTTCATTTAGATAAACAGTTCTACAGAAAATCAAAAACCACCTGAAACAATATGCAGTTAAGTTTGTGAAGTTTTACTGCATTTGAGTATGCAAAAATTTTAGAGTGTGATATAGATGACAAAGTTGGCAGATTTTTATAAAATGAATAGCGAATACTCACAAATATATTTTTTATATAATTTATAAAATGCTAAACATAATAAAACAATGCAAGCCACAAGCTGGACAAATTTTCTATTTGATAATTACAAACATATATCATATTGGCAGTATAACATGCAATAGAAAAAATGATGATAGCAAGCCAGATTTCAAAAGGCAGATGCCAAAAGAATAAGTTTGTGTTACTGATGTTAGAATAAAAATGCAGTTTATTTTTCAAATAGGGATATAGCATGGCTGTATAATTATGGGCTCATAAAAGTTGTGGTTTAAATACCACCTCAATTTTTTTTTCTTTGTTTTATTCTAGTACATATGTCTCCTGTGTCATAAAAATTGCAATATCTATTAATTTTAAAATGATATACACCAGAAAGATTTACAACAAGTATTTTACAATTTTTAGGATGGAAAGGGAAAATACCAAGATTTTGGGCACTAGACATCCCTAGCTTTAAATACACATACATACACATTATTAAACTCATATAACACATAATTAACGTTAGCCATTTGTGCCAAATGTAGACAACTGATGCATATACATAGCAGATCTTCCACATCTGCCCTGTAATTAATTATATTAAGCAGAATTTCCTTAATCACAGAGGGTTAAATCAAAGCTAGGGATATTTATTAGAATTCGTAGGTATATGGTGAATAAGTTACTAAATATATTTATAAAATACAAATAACATTAATTTAATACTATATTTAAAATATTTTGCTAAAATTTAAAAAGTCAAAATAATTTCCCTTTTTTTAAATGAATATCTTGATGCTCAAAATAATTTCCCTTTTTTTAAATGAATATCTTGATGCTCTTAGATGACTGCCTAGGTTTACCTAATCATAGCATCAACCTTCCATAATACATATCTTATATTTTCATAATGAATTTCTCATATTCACAGATGGTGGTTATACAAATGAAAATTTTATAATTAGATTCTCAAGAACATATGTGATAATTTTTAAATTATTTCCTTTAGCCATAAAAAAAAAAAGTAGGAGAATCTTTCGATATGTCTGTGTTTACTATAATTTACACTTTGCATTTATTTTAACATGTATTAGCATAGTATGTACTTTTTCTAGAAGTGACAGATTACATGATTTATGCATTGAAAAGGAGTTTTATCTACAGGGAAGAAAAATATTCTTTTGCATATGGGAAAAATATATGTTTCTTCTATATAACAAGTGAAATATTTTGTTATGTCAATGAATATTGAAAATCTGTTACACAAGAAGCTATACAATATTGTTATGATGTTAATTCTATATAGGGTATATCAGTGGATACATAATATATATAACAAATTTCAACATTATTCATTTAATATTTTTAATAATCTACACGTGTAAATGATGCATAAAATACTGTTATTAAAAAACAAGGTTTATATTTAAGAGTATATAGATTTTTAATGAATATTATTACACATGTGAACATGACTTATCACATAAATTTTAGTACAACAATCACAATAAAAAATTAATGACTTATTTGGCTACAATAAAAACTAAGCAAAATATATCACTCTTAAATATGCTTTCCTTCAATGATCAAATACTTAAGCTTTGCATCTTTAACCATGTATAATATAACATGGTCATATTATTATACATTTCTAAACTTTTCAGACTCTGTGCTTGTAAACAAACAAACAAAAAAAAAAAAAAAAAAAAAAAAAAAAAAAAAAAAAAGAAAAGAAAAGAAAAGAAAGAAAAGAAAAGAAAAGGTACTAGAACTGTTTCTAAATCATCCATTTTAAAATACAAAATAGCAAAGAATCTACAATAAAACTATTTCAATATATTTAAAAAGTAAAATTAAAAATTTTGATTTGAAAGAACATGTATAGGCTTGCTTTTGTATTTAAGGAACCTTATGACTATGATCATCATCATAAAAAAAAAAAAAAAAAAAAATTATCAACAATATAAAAGATAATACATGGAAAATCATTTACTATACAAAGAAATTTAGAGATAAGATTAGAAAAGCATTAAAATGCATTTAAAAGGCATACAATTCTAGTCCCACAGTAAAAATATTTGAAATACATAAATTAACATAAAAATATGCATTTTTCAAACCTATCCTGATGATTATTTATATTTCATTGGTGTTTAATATTTAAATACCAGAAGAGCAAAATATACAACAAAGTACAATACACTTCAGTTACATGAGACTGTTTTCTGCCTAGTGCAAATAAAATTCGGTGTTTTTATTGGAAAATGTTGGCTTTTAATGAGCAAAATTAACTTCAATGGTTCTTGTAGGATAAACAAGTTGAATGCACATTTTCTTTTTCATATTTGTATACATATACTGATAAGTTTAAGAATTAAATTTTTAACTAGATACTTTCATAGTTTCAATTACAACATTTTTAAATAACACTACAAAATTTTCGTATTTAATACTCTGATGGAAAAATAAGTTATGTAAATTAGTTTTTGAGTAACAATTACTTTGTTTACAGAGGATCACAAAAGTCATTCAATCAGTCACATTAAAAATAGTTTATTAAACAGTTATATTTAATGCAGTAAATCATTAACTTGAAATAAAAGAAATTTATCTTATTTTATTAATTTATTCCAATATCTATGAATTAATTGCTATGATCCAATTTTTATGAATTAATTTTTCTCTAAACGGATGTTCATACTAGCAGACTTTAAAAATTTTCTGCGCAATTTTTGCTGCCACTTCTAATAAAATATATCTATTACTTAAATATAAAGACTAATATGCTTGTAATTCTAAAACAATCACAGTATTTTTACAGATTAAATGTTCAAACACAAAACTAAGTTGAAATGCAGTTAAGGCTATGTTTACTCCCATTAACACAAATATGAAAGAATTAAAATAAAATGAATAAACAAGCAGTACATTTTAGCCAAATATTTTTAAGCATCACATATTCTGAAAGAAACAATTACATGATGATACAATTTTTCCCACTTTCATTAGACAGACCAAATTAAACAAAATATGCATCAATACGCAGCATTAAATTGATATAAAATATAACAGAAATTTATACAGCTATATCATGGTGGTATGTCACTTTTCATCTCTGCTTACAACTTTAGTCTAAAAAAATATGTCATGTATTTATTTAAAATGAGGGAAAGCTTTTAACTTTATTTTACACCCTGAATATTATATCACAAATATAAATTATTACGTCAATATCTACCATTTTCCAGTTTATGAGATCTTTAATGTTGTTGACCGGCAAAGAGTTCTGATTTTATTAAAATTATTTTTTACAACACTGTATTTCAAGTAATGGTGTAATATGTACTACAATACATAAATCAAAGAAATACTGTAAAATTTATATTGTATTCATAATTTCATGTATAATAAAATTCCATTGCAGCAAACTAAAATCTATGCATTATAATTTTCAATTTTGGCACCTACATAAAATATGCCTCGTCATAAAAATAAAATATATTACATAAAAGAATAATAAACAACAACACTTACAGAATAGCAAAGAGATTTAAATTCATTTCCAAAAGCTTAAAAATGTACAATTATCTTCTTTCACAAGCCCACCTTGGGTATTTTCATTCTTTATAGCAATTATATGTTTCCAATTTCCCTTACCATTACCATAAAGCTTTTCAGACAATAAACAGCTTTTTAACTTGTTAAAAAAACTATAAACTGCACTGCTTTAGATAAAACTTACTTCTTCATGATAAACAGCATACAAAAGTTATGTTAATCTGTAAAATATGAATTATTGACTAAAATTTAGTTATAATAATTATATAAATTTTACTTAAAAATCATGTATGATAAAAGATTCCTTCATTAAATATAATTTCTCACTCTGTTTCACAAATGATAATTTCTTATAGACTAAAGAATTAATGCAATTAACAAAATATTTGGTCATTGTGGGAGAAAAAATATGATTTGACCAGAATTTATTAGACAGTAATGACTAATGAGTGGCCTGAAAGTGGGCAGTTTGACTTATGTTCAAATTCCAACGAACTGTCTGGCTGCATAGTCGTTTTGTCCCCATGAAGTAACATGACTACAGTTCAGTTTCCCTTAGAAAGTCCTCCACAAAGACATTTCTTCTCTAAGGGAAGTAGCTCTAGTGTGCTTTGCCATAGTCAGATAATCCCTTAGAATGTGCTGATTAATTGCCATGAAAAGACATGTATACAAGATCCAATTTTTTAAATGTAAGCACAATGTCAATAAACAAGTTATTAATCACAATTTCAATACAGCAAGCTAAGAACACTAAAAAAATATTTGACAATAATTTCCTAGTTATTAAAATAAAAATCTAATATATTCTAAACACAGGTAAATATGTATCAGCTAAAAATGCTTTAAAAGCATGTTTCACATTTTAGCACATGCAACATTTGGTAAAATAACACTTAGAATATATTATTTACGAATTATTTTTAGTCGCATTTAATATAATGATTTGTTACTTACTTTTGAGAAAATTTTACCTAGTATGTAATAAGGGAATGGCAACATAAATTTGACTGCACACATTTACAACTTTTCATTTTGTACTTAAACCTTATGTGAACACGTTTGATTTAAAAAAAAAATTGAGCCAATACAAGAATTCATTCAATGTATTCTAATAAATCCTTCTAAGTCAACAGGAACTTCACCAACATAAATAATTTGCTTTTCTATTACTTTTCGAGCAGCTAGACATTTTAAAGTTATATACTGCAGATGGTTTATAGTACATTCTGTTATATTTTGTAGCATATCATGAGGATGATTACCACTACCATTCCTGCGATCGATATGAGCTCCATACCGTAACAGGACTTCTATAACTGCAGGATGATAATTTAAAGGAAGGGCAGCTATATGCAAAGGAGTGCTCAAGTTAAAATTCACAGCTTCCACATTTGCACCACATTGTAACAACAGTTCTGCCAGTCCCTCATCAGGAAATATAGCTGCATGCGGATCTTCAAGAAAAGTACTTGTTTTCATTGTATTAGATTTAGAGGAAACAAGATGCAAAAGGGTATCACCACTAGTAGTACGAGGTTCAATTTTCAGCACATCCCTTATTATTTGCTTCATGTCATGAACTTCTTGTGGAGTTTTCGGAATGACATATAGTACATAAAATAAATGTGTCAAGACCTTTAATATTTTGTCAAAATTGTCCTGGTGTTTCTTAAAAATAGGTCTTGCATTTAAAAGACATTTAGATGATTCAAATCTATACACTAAGAGTTTAATAGATTCAAACACATCAGTGAATTGTACCTGTTCACGTAACAAACCAGCATTATGCTTTTCGTGCAAATCAAGGAAGACACCAACCAATGCTTGAGCTGCAAAGCTCACTTCTCCATGCAAAAGACTGTCTTTTTGTATACGTAAATCTAGAGCATATCTCCAGAGATCAATGCACCGTTGGTACTGAAGACTATCAGCATATGCTGCTCCACGGTACATTAATCGAAATATCATATCTCTATGCAAGGGACCTAAAATCCTCTCGCATACTAGCAAAGACTGTATTCGCATGGCATCCAAATCTAGTGCCAAATTTTCAAGCTCCTCAATAGAATTAAATTCTGTTGCAAACAAGTAAGGTGCTTTTCTTGCAATCTTTCTTTTTTCTATTCTTCCATATGGATTATTATACCTCAGTTCTAGTGCTGTTCGCCAATGGTGCAGAGCCTTTCGCAGATCATGGTGTTCTTCAAGAAAGGTAGTGCCCATAAGCTCGTGGGCTTCGGCAATACGTTCTGTACTGTAGGAATACTTTTCACACAAGTAATCAAATACATGTGTGGCACTTTTTAAGCATGCAGTTTGTAGAGCATCATCTCCATAGCGACTTTTTATCAGGGGATCGGCTCCATTCTCCAGTAGAAGTTTTGTAGTTTCAAAACGATGTTCCTGAATTGCATAATGTAGTGCGGTTTTGAACTGTATATCTTGAGCATTTACTTCAGCCCCGTGTTCTATGAGGAATTCACATAAAGGTACACTTTGAACAGAGTTGATTAAGCAAGTACCTCCATTATAATTTGGCTTCAATATATCTGCATTGTTTAATACTAAATACACAACTATTTCATAATGAGTCATGAAACAGGCTGATCTGACAGGAGTTGATCCGGTATCCGATACACTATTTACGTCAGCACCATGTTCTACTAAACATTTAACAACATTCTGTTTTCCAGCTACAGATGCACACCACAAAGGTGTCACAAAATGTATAGACCTGTCATCCGGCACCTCATACATACCCCGCTGCTCCACATCTGCGTCGCATTCTTCGATGAGGTATTCTACAATTTCAACATTGCCTTTTTTGCAAGCCACAAATAAAGGTGCGCAGCCTTCCCGCACTCTCGAAACTATTTCTCGTCTGTCTTCTCTACTAAAACGTTCAAGTCTGTTCCTAATTGAATAAGAAAGCCGTGCACCAGGTGCTGCTAATCGGCATTGTGTGTACAGTTCATCAAATGCCAATTCTTTTTGAGATGAAAGATCACTTTTACCAGTAATCCACATTCTGGGTTATTTAACGGTTTCCAGCGCGCAGCATCCGCTTCACATCACATACCCCTCATATCGACTTCACGCAGAGACTCCTACTGCAACACTCGGCGATCTGAGTTCTTATTCTACGAGAAAATAGCCGACATCATCTGCCATATTTGAAGCGGAAGTCAAATCCTATTGGACCTCCCGAAAGTCAGCATAATGCGTCATACAGTTGAAATGCGCATGCTCACAGGCAGCGCAATCTAGTGGGGTAGTTACTAGATTTCTCTTCAGTTTTTTTCTGTGAATATACTTATGTTCGTTTAGTTTAGCTCGTTATACGAAAAATAAACTTTTCGCATTATTTATTATTATATTTATAATTTATAACATTTTTGGCGTTATTTATTATACTGATTTCTTATTTTCAATTCAGTTGACTTTTTTTATGAAAATCTGAAGGAACCGCTACTGATATCATTTTTTAAATTCCCATTTTAGTAGAACTTGAAACATCTGTATAACCTGAGGCAATAACTCATTTGTATACTAAAAAATCCGGATAACTATGTTGTCTACGTTAGATCACGAAATTTTTTATTTTATTATATATTTATTTATTTATTTTTACTATACTTCATTGTAGCAAAGATTATGCAGTTATTTTTTTTATTTTATTTTTCATGTCTTCAGTTTTTAAAATTTCCTTAAAATAAAATTAAAAGCTCACAACAGTTCATTAGTTTTGTTACAAAAATACGTTTTTAATAGCCATACTACTTAGCCTTTTTAATTTGGATCACCTGAACTGCGTAACATTTTTCTTTCGTTTAATCCAAGCTAGAGTTATACTTAGGGCTTGACGTTTCATTGTACGAAAGACTACGATTGTACTTAACAAGCCAAAGTTTTCTTCAGGGGATAGAAAATTAATGCAAAGTCACCACGCTTGTTTCGCCTGTCTTTAGAAAATACACAATATATTAACAATGGTGGCGAAGTGATAATCTCCGAAGCACTTTTATGTAGTCCGCGAAGTGATTTCAGTTATGTATTTGTTGCAAATACGGTAATGCAAAGATTCCAGCTTTTTTTATTTAAAACAGCTTTTTTACACAGTTGAAAATTAATAAGAAAAGAACACGACTGACCGATGAGCACCTACAGCCCGGTGATGAAGATAATTTCTGGTAACTCTCCGAGGCTGCAGACTTTATCAAAATCGAAACGCCATCAAGTGTCAATTTGTAGAAATAAAGTTTATAAATATTTACATGCAAGCACAATATTTTTTTATTTATGCGTCGAAGAAAAATTTATTAGAAAGAGACTAAGTTGTTATTATTTACTCTCAAGATATGCCCCACTTGGAAAGTTTTCTCTGAAAACTTAGAAGTTGTAATAATTTGTTTATTTTTATTTTAAATTAAAGTAAGTTTTAATGATGAATTATTTGAAAGAAATGATCGTCGAAGAATTTAATATATAGCTGTCATTATATTTCAATTGCAAAGCATAACCAAGAGAAATGTCTTACAAGTATCAAATTTTAGGTTTAAGAACACAAATATAAATTTGATTTCTTTTCTTTTGCGATATTATTATTATTGTTTATGCATAATTCAATAATTATTTACTAGGCAGAATTTAAAATTTACATAACGTATTTTTTTATTTTGTTAATAAAATATTCCATTTTGTTAAAAAAGAAAAAGAAAATCTGAAAGCTTTCAGATTTTATATTACTCCCAGAAGGGCTTTTTTTTTATCGTTCTGTGTGAACTTTATTTATTAAATATCATGTTCTTTGCACTTAAACCACATAAAATTCAATTCAACAGCAATATCACAAAATATTTAAAAACAGCAAAGCAGTATATTTTTAGAACTTCCGATACACAGTCTCGCAAGCTGGAGATAAAAATGTTTTTTCCGTACAGTGTTGCTAATGCTCGCTTTGAAATCATTGATTTTGTTAATCAAAAATTCGTTAAATTTTTACAGAATTTGAAATAGATAATACAAAAAATTCCAAATTCGAGCTTCCAAGTGCCCATGTTCGGTTGAAGGACTACGTTATTCAAAAATTTGATGTCTCTAGGTACTGTTGTTTTTCCACAATGCGAGAAACATTCATGCATTCATGCAGATTCTTTAGTTCCTTTAACTATAATACATGGTGATAATGCCTGCTGGCAACAGTTTGAAAAGTGAATCAACGCAGAAAGTTAAACGACGCAAAAAAAAAGTTCTGGCCCGTCAGCTGCTTTCGCATCGTGCATTCGGCCAGCATGCCATTTTATGTTTAAGACCACTGTGACAGAGTATATAATTGCTTTTCCAAGCCACTAGTTTTCCAAACAATATATTTGAATGCAAGCAGTTAACACTGTTCGAAATAAAACATTTTGATCTCTATTGCGCGAGACCTGGTGTCCTTCAGAAAAATATAAGGTATTTATTTCTATCACGCAAGACTGTTTTAATTTAGAAAAATATAAGATATTTATCTTTCACATTTAATTAACAAACTCGGCTCTATGAAAGCAATGTGTTGCGCAACCGGAAATAAAATACTTTTATCTTCGACGCGCCAGGGTGTTGCCATTCATTAAAGTCTGACACTTTCAAATTTAATCTGGAAGGTTACTGAGTGATAAAGAAAGAGATTTAAAAGCAGTAAACCCAAATCTTAAGACCATGTTTTCAGCTTTTTAATGTGATTGATTTAAATAAACATTTATTAAAATCATGAAATGTCTAATTAGAAATACTAATTATTTTTATGAAATTACACTAGCTGGATTCATTAAAATAATTGTATATTTTTTCTTTTTTATGGTAATTATTTTAAGCTTCTAAATATTGGTAGTTTTCGAAGAAATAATATAGCGAATATAAAAATATGCGTGACAATTTCCAACGCCATATCGGTAATTCTAAAGAGGTGCTGTTTTTAAATATTCTGTAATTTTGCTGTTGAATTGAATTTCATGGAGTGAAAGTGCGAAGCACGTGATATTTAATAAAGAAAGCAAACGCACAAAAAATGTATAATTATGAAAAAAATTATTAGACATCTTACTAAGAAAATTTTAATAGTGATATGATGAACTTAGAAAAGCCTGTAAAAAATATAAAAAGGTTATGCCCACTGCTTAGGGAATTCTAAACATATGTTGCTATGCAAATTTTAAAAATTTTGTGATTTTGTTGTTGAACTATATGTGGTGTAAATGCGAAGAAATGAATAAGTAAAGCTAAAAAGACAAATTGAAAAAAAAAAAAAAAAAAAGTTAATGGAAGAGCAGACTGGTAGATAGCGAACTCAGCAACAGCGTAAAAAAAACTTCAACAGACCATTTTGGGCGACAGTTAAAATCTGAAACCTTTCAGGAAAAAAATAAAAAAAAAATTTATATCCTCTATTTTTTTCCCCTTTGGGCTGTCTTCTCCATCTTTTGTGCAAGACAGAAAATACTGAGCAACGTTATAAAGTCAATAAACTCGAGTTCACATTTTTGCTCTTCATTTTTTTTTTTTTTTTTTTTTTTTCCTATTTTATAATCAACTAACTTGTTAACACATTTCATTGTCTCATCACTATTTTTTCACGTCAGTCTTCACTTTCTTATCATCGCTTTTTCGTTAGCCTGCTCGAGTTACCCTATTCAAAATAAATTAGTCTGATAAAAGTCTTCAACTTTATGCGCCATTCTTCCACTTTTTGAAAACTCTTAATGTCAGATATTATTATCCTTATTATCGAACAACTATTGCTTCTACTCCCCAAATATAAATTAGTGTTAAACATTTAATTTTAATGCAAGCCTTAATAACAAAATTCACATTATCAAAAACTGTGTGTTTCTTCATTTTTCAAGTGCCAGCATCAGAAAGATTCTCTTGAGACGCTGTATATTTGACCCACAAGAAGAATAATCTGCATATCGAAGATAGGATATTTGGTGTAATTAAAATTGGAAGGGGGTATTAAATCATAATATTCTAAAAATATTTTCATAATATTTAGTTCTGTAATTAGTAAATTGATGGTTTATGTAAAAATTTCTTTATATGAGTTTTTTAGTTTTATTTCTGAAATCCTTTAGTTGCAATTTTTTCACTTATTTTTTATATTACTATTCATTCTACTGCAATTCAAAGAAACTGATGCAAAGACCTATTTTCGGCAGTCAAAATCAAAGTAGAGAACTTTCAGTAAATCAAAGAGATAATTCCTAGAAGTCAACAAATTGTTCGTAACAAGAAAATTTTAAGCAGTTCCTTTCAAGTATTCATAAATCAGTGGTTCTCAACCTTTTTAATCCCATGCATCATTTTCACCATTGCCAGGAGGTCATTCCCCCTTATTTTCCCAAACTCAAAAAATACTTATTCATTTAAATTTATATAATTTTTTTAACTTGTTTGATATATTAAACAACATTACCATAGAAAATGTTAATAATACTAAAATTTGAATAAAAGCTGTATTTTATATTCATAAACTATAACTAAATACTTAACAGCTAAATAAAAGGCTGACTGCATTTCCCCCTGAAGCTATGAAATTCCCCCTAGTTGATAACCCCTCTCATAGACAATGAAATGTTGACTTTCAGCACCAAGAGGAAAACTCTTGACGATAAATTGCGTCATCATCATCTTTATTTACTAAAGATTTCTTTTCCAATGTCCTACTTCAATGAGTTTTAAAATAAAATAATCAATCACATTTACTTATAATAATTTATGTAATAATAATTGGAGAAAGGACTAATGTCGCTAACATATTGGTAAAGAATGCGCGGAAAGGAACTTTTCATTTTTTTAGAAGAATAAAATGTTTAGAGGGGAAAAAAAAAATCATATCTTAAAAAAAAAAAAAAAAAAAAAAAAAAAGAGAGAGAGAGAGAGCGAGAGAGAAGAAGAATCATTTTTCTCAGACCGCCTCTAATACTGAAATTGCTATATTCGTGAGACAAAAGAGGGCAATTAGGAATTTTTTTCAAATCCTCGAATAAATTACAATTATTTATATCCTATGATTAATTTATGAATTTTATGGGGATAAAAGAAATAACCTCATTCTCATTTTTAATCAAGGTCAATTTGAAACTTATGAACTGGCCTCGAGAAA